ACTATTTATAGTAACTGAGTTGTGTCAGATGGTACGTACTTTTTCAGTCAGAACTCTGTAGTGGTTGTACTTTCTCAAGATGTACTTGACATTTACTTGCAATAGATGTGTGCATGCTTGATTTTACTTCTTCTTCTACATTTCACCTTAAATGAAATTAACTTCATTGATTACTGAATTGGATCCTTAGTTTTGGGACTAATAATTGGTATCAGAGCCAATTTGGTATCAATTGAAGTTGTTTTTGAGTGTGAGGGTGCAAAAATTTCACTGTTTTTTGAAGTATTTTTGATCGAAGAACTTTTGTTTGATTCTTGTTTTTAATAGTTTTCACAAGCTTGAAATCAAGTTTCATAAAAATCTGAGATAATCAGGTTTGCTGCCAACTGTTGAAGGTTTGTTGCCATAGTGTGTGCGGTGGAGCGTATTCTTTAAGTGTGTGCGGTGGAGCGTATTTTTGAAGTTGTGCGGTTGGTTTTTGCTATTGAGAAGTGTACGGCTGAGTGTGCGGTTACATTGTGTACGGCTGGATTTGTTATTAGTGTGTGTGCGGTTGAAACTTGTTTGCTGTTAGTGTGTGCGGCTGAAACGTGTTTGCTGTTAGTATGTGCAGTTAAGACTTGTTTGCTGTCAGTGTGTGCGGCTGAATCTTGTTTGTTGTCAGTGTGTGCAGTTAAGACTTGTTTGCTGTTAGTGTGTGCGGTTAAGTATTATTTTGTTATTGGGTGTACGATTGAAGTCAAGTATGGAATCTCAAAGCATGATTGCTCATCAAGATTTGGATGCAATTATGGGAACCACTACTCGTATTCCTAGATTACTATCATCTGAAGGATTTCCTGAATGGAAATATCGAATTAAAAAATACATCAAAATGAAAGATTTCAAAATGTGGAGAAGTATTTTAAGAGGAAAAATTCGGATTACATCCACTCTAGACGATGGCATAGTAATTGACAAATAGATTGAAAACTACACTGATGATGACTTTGAAAGAGTTGAAGAACAAGAAAAGGCACTCGCTACACTCACCATGGAATTGTCTCCTGAGATAGCACAAGGATTTCATGAATACACGTCATCAAAAGCATTGTGGGAAGCGCTCATAGAAGTCTACGAAGGAAATGAAGACATGAAGCAAAGCCGAAAAGACATGCTTCGACAAAAATTCAACATGTTCAATTATGTATTGGGAGAAACACTTGAAAATCAACTGCAAAGATTTATCACACTAACCACTGAAATGAGCTCCGCAGGTGTGATGGTCACTAGGTCCGAAATTAACAAGAAGCTGCTAAATTCTCTTCCAAAATCATGGGACATGAATGTCTCAGTGATTAAAAAGACAAAAGACCTGAACCGGTTAAGCTTATCTGAAACAATCGTTATCATCAAAGCTTGCGATCTTGATGATAAACAAAGAGAAATCAACCATGTGAACTCGTACTCTACAGCTAATCTTGGAATTCAAAACAACAACAAAGCTTTCTAAAGCTTTACCACCCATCCAAATTCCGAAATTCATGTTCCCCAAATTCAACCTTATACAACCCATCAAACCACACCATACAACATACCTCAAATACAACAAACTCAAGTCCCTCAATCCCAAAACATATCTCGATGTTGGTTCGAGTGTTAGTTCTTCCACAGGCGTTTCAACTCAATCTCAAGGAATTGGTTCCCAAAGTTCATCTGCAAATGAAAAAGAGGAAAATTTGGCTCTAGCTACTAGATTAGTAAATTGTTATAATGTTTTTGTTGCCGGAGAGCTCTCTCCACAACTTTCATTTGCTGATCTCGATGAAATTCACCTTGAAGATGTGGAAGAAATGGATATTACTTGGCAGATGGCAATGGCAGTGTTCAGGGCAAAACAATTCTCAAAGAAGACTGGAAAGAACAATTAGAGTGTAAATTCTGACAAGAAGATGAGATTTAGTAAAGGAAAGTTACGGTGTTACAATTGTCATGAACCAGGCCACTTTGCAAGGGAATGCCCAAAACCCGATCGCCGAGAGAACTCTAAAAGAACCATTCTGCCAGTGACTTATGTTCATAACCACAACAAAGGATCATCTTCAACAAATCAGTCTACAAACATGGAAATGGTGGCCCAAACGTTTAGCTGGGAAGATCAAGTTCAGGCCCTAAACATTTCGGGACCTGAAAAGGAAAATCTTGCTCAAGTCAAGGAAGAAGATGAAGAAATGGAAGCAGATCCAGAAGAGGAAATGATGAATCTGCAATTTGCATTCATGGTGCAGACCACTGCTGAACTGGTCAAATCTGAGGTTAGTGAATTCGGTTGCTCTCCATCCTGTATTAAAACTGTTAAGTTTTTAAGAGATCAAATTGAGATAATCAAAATAGAGAACGAGGACTTGAAATATGAGGGATATACTCTTAGAAAAATAAAAGCCCTTAAAAACACAATTAGAAAATAAAACAAAAGATTTTAAAAAGTTGCAAGAGGATTACAGCAACAAATGTGAGAACTATGATCATCTCAAAAGAAAATTTGCTACTGTAACTACGAACCTTGACACATTAAGAAATTGTTTTGAAAAAGCTGAATTTAATTTCAAGAAATACGATGGGTCAAGTGAAAAGATTGCAAAATTAATTGAAGGACAATCACATTAGAGAGATATCACTCATGGAAATAAAATAAAAGTTGGACTAGGATTTGAGAGTGTCCCTTCTCCCTTTAATCACAATTACACTGTTATTCCTTTGTCTCAAGAAGAAATTGACAAAGAACCTAGTATGGTATACGGAAAGTCAGCTTCTGAGCAAGCAATACAGTCTAATTGTGAGAGTTTGCATGCTAACATTTCTACTTTAAGTGCAGATATATCAATAGTTCAGGGGGAGCATGAAGCTGAAACTTTTGAGTCAAATAATCATGTGTCTAAGTCTTGTGTTAATTCTTGTGATGAGTCTGTGTCAAAAACAAATTCTAATGTCTTTGTGTCTGGAGGTGTTTTATTTCAGTCTGATATTTCTGTGAATGATGATGTTGTCTCTAATCAAACCGATGAATCTGATTCGAATGTTTCTACACCTTCCACATCTGCATCATAATCCTGCAATGGATTTTGCAAATGTGGAAGTGTTAATAATGAAAATAAGAATAACAAATCTAGCAACAGCAGTGCCAAAACCATTGATAATAAACAAATTTGTTTTAACTGTGGCACTGCTGGACACATTTCAAGAAATGTTATGAATAGGATGTTTGTTTCTCATACAACAAAAAGAGGAGAGAATGAATTTCGGGGACGATCTTTAACTAGAAAAACACCCAGAAATCGTTCCAAAATGGTGACTTGAAAATGAAAAGGTTTCAAAAGAATAAACAGGTTTTTCGTAAAAACAACAGGTGTTTGCCAAAATCAAATCAAGTTAAGCCTAAGCTGAATTTGCCAAAGAGCAGGACTGGATCTTCAAACTCTTCAATTAGAAAATCCACCGGCTCGAAATAATCCAAAATGTTTTGAAAACCTAACTTTTCAGTGGATACCAAAATCTCTTTTAAAAACAACTTCAGATCAGTCACCATTCACCACTAAATCAAAAGAAATGAAAGAACTAGATGAAAAATCTGTGAAAGGAAAGGGTCAACCTAGGATTATGATGACTTGGGTTCCCAAAACTAAATGATTCCACTTATCGTGCAGGGATAGTTGCGGAGGAATGTCGCCAGACCTTGGTATGTCGACAGCGGCTACTCCCGACACATGACTGGAGACATATCCCAACTGCATAGCATTCAGACTTTTAATGGAGGATATGTTTCTTTTGCGGGTGGAGAGAGCGGAAAAATTACTCAAAAAGGAACTGTTTCAAATGGGGTGCAGAATTTTGAGAGTGTTAACTTTGCTCCTGAACTGAACCATAGCTTGTTGAGTGTATCCCAGATATGCGACAAGGGCTACTCTACTCATTTCACCGATAAGGAATGTCTGATCTTAAATCCTGGCATTGTCATCCCTGAAGATTGGATTCTTGTAAGATCTAAGCGGGATGGAAATGCCTACCTTATTGACATGAATAGCAATTTCCCTGACGATGTCATCTGTCTCTTCTCCAAAGCTTCTGAACAAAATGCTATGTTGTGGCATCGTCGTCTCGATCATGCGAATGCAAAGAAATTGAATCGGCTTACGAAGAATGAATTGGTCCGAGGGTTACCTGTCAAAGATTTCATTACTTTTGAAAAATGTGTTTCCTGCGCTCAGGGAAAACATCATCGGAAACCACACATTCCAAAGCAGATAAACTCCACTAGTCAAGTGCTCGAGTTGTTACATATGGATTTATTTGGTCCGTTTAATGTTCTCATCATCAATCGTAACTCATACTGCCTCATTGTGATAGACGATTACTCTCGTTTTACTTGGGTTTTCTTCTTGTCCAACAAAGCTTGGATCCCTGACCTCATCAAAAGATTCATTGTGATGATCGAAAATCAGACCAACAATCGAGCGAAAACGCTGCGTACTGATAATGGAACAGAGTTCAAGAACATTTTTCTTGATCATTTTTGTGCAGAGAAAAGGATCGTGCGTCAAATCAGTTTCGTTGGAACTCCTCAACAAAACGGGGTTGATGAACGCCAGAATCAAACTCTAAAAGACACCGCAAGGACGATGCTCTGTGATTCCAAGCTTCCTGTGTTCTTCTGGGCAGAGGCAACTAACACTGCATGTTATGTTCAGAATTGTGTGCTAATCAACAAAGCCAGAATGAAGACACCGTATGAAATTCTATTTGGACACAAGCCATCTGTCAGCCATTTCCGAGTATTTGGCTGCCCTTGCACCCTTCTTCACTTGGAATCCAACCCCAAATTCAACGAAAAAGCCGATGATTATTACTTTGTTGGTTATGCTGCTCGAACTGCTTATCAGAGTTTGATTAAGGATTTCTGGAGGAACGTTGTTGTAAAGAAGAATGATTAGGGTGAAAAATTTGTTGAAGCAACAATCGACGACATGAAAATTCAAGTAACAGAGAGCATCATTAAAGAATCTCTCCAAATTGAGGACAGACCTGAGTACCCCATGGAGATTGACGTTCATCAAACTGAGGAAGTCTTAGAGAATATGGGATACGAGGGATCTTTTCCTCCTACAATTAAGAAGCTGCTTCCTCCATGCTGGAAGTATTTGGCTCATGTGTTCGTGAGCTACATTTCCGGCAGGAGATAAGGAGCAAACGAGATCTCTTTGGCCAACACTGGTGCCATTGCAGCATTGGCTGCAGGTTTTGAGTTCAATTTCTCAATTTTATAATGAATAAGATGATACTGAACCTTGAAGGGAGCAAAAGGGACAAATTCTGGATGTATCCAAGATTTTTACAAATCATCCTTAACGTGACTCACCCTGAGCTGCAGAGAGGAAATGATACTTTGGATTTCAAATCCATTGATCCAAGTGCGTTTGGACTAATGAAACAAAAGAGAGGCGGGAAGTTCGTATTTGAAGGAAAATTTCGATTAATAAAATTTGGAATTTTTAAGGAGAATGATAGAGAAGAATCAAAAGAACAATCCATGCCGATGGAAAATGAAGATATTTCTCACTCTCTCTCCGAGCCAGAAATGGAAGAGATTCATGACTCTCCCACAGCTTGTGTAGCTGATGAGCATGATCTTCAGAAAGCAAATGAATCAAAATCTTCTCGAGAGGATGATGACGATGATCTTTATGATGATGTGGAGTTTTTAAAAGAAATTGACTTTACAGAAATCAATGACGACATTCCAACAAACATAGAGTTTGATCTTGGTGATGAAGATTTTGATCCTTTTCTTGATATTCCCAGCAGCCGTGTAAATAAAGTCAATGAAGTTGCTTCTTTAGAAACCAAGACTAGAGATGATGGAAATTTTCTTAAGATTCTACTCTCTACTTCAAATCCCTTGGAGGTCGCAACAAGCCAAGGAGATGTGACATCAGAGATTCCTCCCTCTGTGACACTTGTCTGAACTTCTGCTCCAGTCATTTCTGATTCAACTGAACCTCAGACTTCTCAGACTTCCATGAAAACAAGCTAATCTCTTGAAAGTCTAGAGGTACCCACTATAAGAGGCGCACCTCAAGTTCTTTCAACAATCACTGCTACCTCTGCTCACTCTCCTCCAAAGCAAACAGATGAAGGTCCGAGTACTATGTTTGAGACTGGTGGATCCTCATCCATTCTAGAGTATTCTCCAACTCGACCTTCACTAAATGAAGCTTATATTAGATTAGTAAAACATCTGGCTCAATCTAGTCCAACTTCCTCACACGGAAAAGGAATATCATTTAAGGAGGGTCGGACAGATGATGGAAAATCTTCTTCGCCTGATCTTCGAGAGGAGATTGGGATTCTCCGTCAACAGCTCATCGAAAAGTCAATTCAGATGGATCAGCTTTCTGCATACATATTTGTGCTCAGGGCGATAGATGAAGAAAAGACCAAACAAATTAATGAACTACAAACGAGTCTTGGATCTGTACTAGCTAATTATTTCAATCTCAAGAACGTTTTGTACGATGCATTTGGTGAAATAGTCAAAGCCCTCTTGCAATAGCCTCATGGAATCGTTGATCCTCCCACAGATCAATTACCTCCTGCAACTAATGATCTCCCTGTCAACCCACCTGCTCCAATAACAACTACAACTGTCAATAGGTTTGAAAAAGAACCAGAAGGAAGTAGAGCCAGAATCACAATCAAACAGGGCAAAAGAATCGTAACTGCAAATCAAAGCGAAGGCCTTTTATTCATGAAAAAATCTAATGAAAATCGCAAAGCAAGAGACCCTGTTTTGATAGTAACAAATTTGAAGAAAAGAAAGTTCGGTGATAAGTATGGTGATAGGACAGGTATCCGAATGTGGGCCTTTGATCCAGAGACAAATTTGTGGGTTGTAAAGCGAAACTCAGGAGCATCTGAATATTAAAAAAGCACCCACGATTTCAACTCTTGGACCAAAACTGATCTAGACGAATTATCCAGGGCCCCATTTCATAATCCGTGCGAAAATCTCAGTGCTTCAAATTTCAAAAGGTTTCTCGACACACAGGTCAGAGAAAACTTTCCATCAATGAAGACTGCAAAAGCTCTATATAGAAAAGACAAAGATGTTCTTGATATAGAATCAGGTGAACCCATGAAGATCATACTACAGCCTGCAACTAAGAAACAAAAGTTAATTCCTATTCCTACACATTTTCATGAAGGATATCTGGATAGTATGGAAATTTGGGCCTATGATGACAAAACTGCAACTGCAGCTATCAAATTCAAGGATCAAGAACACGTTTTGAGATTGATTAATGCCAAAGATCTTCTTCGTTTCAGAGAAAGGGATATACGAACTCTGGCGCGTCATCAAATCATTTGCAGAAAAGATGTCATGGAAGCTGTTGCTAAAGAATTCACTGCAATGGTGGCTACGATCATCAATGGAAGAATGTGGATGGGCTCTATGGGGAGATTGGATCTAAGGCTGTTTGAGAAGCCTGCTGAGAAGCCAAACAAATAAAGTTCAAGACTATGCTATGTTGGATAAGGTGTCTAAGTCCATAACTTATTTGGTATATACTTGACCCGACCCGGCATGGTCCATTTGGGTTGCATTTCATCCAAACTATTTATGGATAATTTTATGAGAGTTATACACATATGATTATTAATATATTATAAGTTATAATATATTAATATGAATTCATGTTATTTAATTAGTCTTAGTCATAAGTTAATTATGAATTAATTTAGAGATTAAAAGAAGTCTAATTAGATTGTGGGCTATTGATTTTATATGGTGTGGGCTAACACCCATTTGTTAATGGGCTAGGCTTGTATGGAAGTCCATGGATGACCATGGAGCTTTTAACCCATGGATCCTTGGAAAAGGAAAGGTCATGGGTTATTAGGGTTTCACCCTAATCATGTACACTATATAAGCATGCTTATGTTGCATGAAATAGCCACTAGTGTGTGTGTTTGTGTGTGGCTGAAAATTGCAGTGTGTATACACTCTCTTAAAGTTTTCCAAGAGTTTGTGGTGATTTGTGATTCCATTTGAGGCATTCACACTATTGGTTCTTGGCCCTCAAACTCCTTAAGAATCAAACTCATCAAAAAGGTATGTAATCTCATCTAATTCTTTTATGTTTAAAAGTACCCAATGCCATGTTAAATAGGTTATGAACCTTGGAAAATTATTATTTTGCATGTATTTAGACAAACATAGATCCAAGGTTTATTAGGGTTGCATGCACACTTAGGAAGTGTTAGATTGCTCAAAACCCAACATGCTAGTCTCAAACCAAGGGGGAGATTGAAAGTCCATAATTTTGTGGTTTGAGCTAGTCATAATTTTTTTTATAGATCTATTCAGGATGTCATAGTGTGTATTGCAGTAGTGCTTGTTTTGAACTTGTCATATGTGCTGCCACACATGTGTGTACGGCCGTACACGTGTGGACGGCTGCACACTCTTATACTAATAGGAGGGGTACTATTTATAGTAACTGAGTTGTGTCAGATGGTACGTATTTTTTCAGTTAGAACTCTACAGTGGTTGTACTTTCTCAAGATGTACTTGCCATTTACTTGCAATAGATGTGTGTATGCTTGATTTTTTTTCTTCTTCTTCTACATTTCACCTTAATTGCAATTAAATTCATTGATTACTGAATTGGATCCTTAGTTTTACTTGCAATAGATGTGTGCATGCTTAGATCTATTATGTTGAATTTTTGGATCTTTTGGTCCCAAGAATGGAGCTTTATGGTTCCAAATCCATTTTTAGGATTAAAGTTGCCACCCTTGATGCTATTGGAGCCCCTAAGGCAGAATGTTCCCTTCTTAATGGTCTTAATGGGTTCATGCTTGAGTTAAGGTACTTTTCTTGAAGTAGAATGCCAGTTTTGGAGCTTAGGTTTGTTTTGGGCATTCAAAGTCACCAAGTCAGTGACTTTATGGGTTTAGACGTGGAGTATAGCTAACATCTATGATTTGCACTTGTTGGATCAAGTATTAAGCACTTAATGGATGTTATGCATGAGTTGTTTGTACGTTGGGCATACTATGTGGTACGTTGCACGTACAGTCCATTTGCTCAGTACGTTGTTGAATCATAAAAGTGACCCTTTTAAACTTGGTCTACCGCAACCTTCCAAGATCCGCAATCAACTCTGTTCAGCAACCCCATCCGAATTCATCATCATCCGCAGTTCCCTTTCTAGCTTTCTTAGTTTAAATCTTTATCCGCTTTTCTTAGAATACTCTCTTTTGTCCAGTATACCTTGTGTGGCTACTCTTAGATAGTTGAATAAATGTAATATTTGAGTCTCTATAAATAGAGCTTAATCTTTTTTATTCAATATATCATATAACACTACGCATCTTGAATCTTACATCTTGTGTTATTACTCTCATCTCCTTCTTGCTCTCAGAGTTCACCAGAATATAACTAAATATTATCCCTCTTCGGAGCAAGTCATTCATGACTTAATCACTAAGTTTGATCTCACTTACTAACTTGGTTTGAATGCATTCCTTGTTAAGAATCAACTTATGTGTATACTTGATATAATACTTGTTGTCATTTATATTTCCTTACATTTCCGCACCTAACTCTCTAATTATCTAACTCTAACTTATTATTATTGTTGAGCTTTGAGATCCTTTGAGATAAGCTATTCTGCAACTATACTTGTTCTAACGTTTGTTCAAGTGTGTCTCAAGTTTTTCTCTTAACAATTGGTATCAGAGCCAAAGCCGTTGCCTTCTGAAGCAAAACTATGATTTTCAAAAAGCCTTCTTTACTACTGAAGCTCCATTCTTCAAAAAAAAAAAAAAAAAAAACTTTTCAACACACGGAATATAGCACATGCATTATCTCTCAATGTATCAAACAGTGTTGGTGGTTCGAATAGAGGACCGATACTTGTGGTGAATGAATATCATCACTGGTCCCAAAGAATGGAAAGATATTTAAGGATACTTGGAAGAGACGTATGGAGATCTGTTGAAGAAGTACCTCATGTTCCTGTTCTTACTCCACTATAAGCCGATGGATCCACAACCAGACTAGGAGGAGGTCAACCAACGTTAAATTTTCCCACCAAAGACGATCTTGACAAAATGGAAAATGATGCTATTGCCATTTATAAGATTTCGTGTGGAGTTGCACCTGACAACTTGGACATAATCATAAATTGCAAGTCCGCAAAGGAGATCTGGGATGTTCTTAAAAACATGTATGAAGGAAGTAAAAAAACTCAAGACAAAAAGCTTACTACTGCACTCAATGAGTTTAACAACTTTAAAGCTCATGCGGGTGAAAGTTTGGAAGATTCCTTTAAGAGGTTAATCTGATAGTCACAAAGCTATCTAATGGTGGCACAGTTCGAAGCAACCATGAAACAAATCTTCAGTTTCTAAATGGTTTAGGAAGACACTGGACAACTTCCAAAATGATTGTTCAAGGGGATAGAAAAATTCAGTCTCTGTCTCTCTATGAGCTCTACGGTGACCTGCAAGCCCAAGAGTCTACGGTACTCAAAGATTGTGCAGACTTCGATGGACCACTTTCTCTCGTAGCACAATCTCCTCACTCTTAATCATACTCCACCGCATATGACAACCCTCCGCAGTCATATGAAGCAGACTCAGAGTATGACGACGAAGAAGAATTTCAGAAGGCAATCTCACTTGTCAGCCAACAATTCAACCGATTACCACCTTTTTCATTCTAAAGGAATCAGTAGTATAACAAACCACCTTTCAACTCCAATCTTAACTCTCAAAACAATCAATCTTGTTTCACTAAAAACCCTCACCCACCACCGTAGTCTCAAAATACTCAACCCAAGGAGGCACCGAAGTCCATCCAAACCACTGACTCCGGTACTCCCTCAGAAGAAAAAAGTGATATTGTGATATGTCACAAGTGCAACGAATAGAATCATTTTGCCAAAGACTACAAGGAAAATGTAGTAAAAGATAGAGCATTCTATCTCAGAATAGCTCAAGAAATGGAGGAAAAAGAAAAAGGAAGGGTATATGTTGTACAAGTAAAAAGAGACCATCAAGTTTGGTCCTCTAGGGATGAAGATGAGGACATCAGCAACGTCAAAGGAAAGAGGAAGATCTGTATGATAGCGACTGTTGATGAGAATGGATCTATATGGCGAAAGATGCGACACTTAGCATTGTCGAACAGGTAAAACTTATGATTCAAACTCTAAATTATAGCATGCATGATTGTTAGCCCTTCATAGAAAATCTTAATGACACATGTGTTTCCGTCCTTACAGACTATAACAAAGCATTACATGAGAGGAACATTGCATCCCAGGAGATGTTTCACGTAAGAGGATGATTGGACAACAAAAGACTAAAAATGGTTATGTTAGAAAAGGACTTAATGTTAGAGAAAGATGCAAGAATGTTGAGTGATACATAGTTAGAAATAACTTTGAACCAGAGAGATTTAACTCAGAGTGAAATTGTACGTTTAAATCTTTTAATAGAGAAACTGTTTAATGAAAGTGAAGCCATCAAGAATCTTGTTAACAATGGGACTACTGACAATACTTACAATTGGGGTTGGTCCAATAAGTGCTCTTCCACAACGGACTCATCACCCCAATTCAGTAAGGACCGTCCCTACGTCCCTTCGGACAATGAGTTATTGTTTCTGGTCAATGACAAAACATTTCCTGAAGATATCAAAGCTCACTTTGGTAGACTTCATGATCTGAGTAACAATTGTGTTATCGAGGAAATTCTCCTTAAATTTTCTAATCCTATAGATAGCACAACTCTTCCCAGTTCTCAAACTTCATCAATTGCTGATGAGGAAATTGTCTTGGAAGGTCCCAAAGTCTCAATGGACTTCCCGTCTGTAACGACTCGTTCCCGGTATGTTAATTTATTAGTAATTGTTTTAAAGTTTTGCAAGAGGGACTCGGCAAGTTCATAGCCTGACTCGCCAAGTAGGGTCGTGACTCCGAGCACGTGTTAGCTGGAGACTCGGCGAGTCCATATCCCGGACTCGGCGAGTCCATCCGTCTGGGTGAAACCCTAAATCCCCGGGTTGCCCACTATTTAAGTCACCTTATAGCCCCCATTCTCGCCTCCTTCACCCTCTAAAGCTGTGAGAAAACCCTAGTTCATCCTTGAGAGTTTGTAGGTGATTTTGTGTGATTTGGTGAAGGCTTGAAGAAGGAGAAGAAGAAAGGAGCAAGGAGAAGAAGTGGAGTGCCAAGATCCAAGGGCAAATCTGAGTTATTTGAGGTATTTACGGATTTCCCCTCTTATTTTTATGCTTTAAACCTCCATTAGAACTCTTCTAAGAACTAGTTGATGCTTGTTCCAAGCCTTGTGCTTTCATGAATGCCCTATTAAGCCGAGATAACCTTGGATCTATTCATTAAGAAGTCCCATAGTCCAGATCTATTTCCTTTATGAGGATACTTTGCATATTAACCCTAGATCTATCCCTTTTATGCATCTTTTAGCCTTATTTTC